ATGGGGGAGGGAAATGAGGAAGCCCAAGCTGCTGTGTGCAGTCACACCTTGCCACATGGACACGTGGAGGTCTCAAGTCGCTGTGTGTGTGCCACAAACACAAACCCGTTGCTCAATTCCCAGCAGATACCAACAATCACCCAACCACAAAGTTTATAACAGCATCAGGACTGGGGTAAATCTAGGAAAGTTGGAAGTTTTCAGTCTTGTTGACAGAGCAGAGTGTAAGAGCTGTGCTCTTTCAAGTGCGGCCATTCACCCCGAATCCTCTAGCGCTGTTACCAGGAGCTAGGCTGCCAACAGCAAAGAGTGCATGAAAAGATGTGCTTTTCTGGAACTGCATCCCTCCTTTTCACAAAGTCTTCCTTCCAGTATTTCAGTTTAACAGAGGAAAGGGAAGAATAATTTTCTCTGTAAAATGAAAGAAGGATGTGTAATGCTATTACAACCCAGTCAAAATCCGGAGAAACGAGGCAAAGTGAAATGGATGTGTCCATGAAAGAGCATTCCATCTTCAGGCCTCCAAACACACCCCTCTGTAGGAACCACATGGCACTCGGGCTTAAGTGGAATAACACTCTTTGAATATGTGCTACATTTTTGTGTATAAATAGGATGGAAAAAATACACAACAGCAATAGGATGAGCACAGTCTTTATCAGCCAAGCAATAGTCTTATAGCCATTGGTATCATTGGTAATGTGAATAGACCAATTTGCTGATTAAGTTCTGTTCCTTTATTTTTATTTTTTATTTTTTTTAATAAGAAAAGTTAATTTGTATTTATTTTATTTCTTCAGATCTAGTTTGGGTCTCATATTATTTACTAACAAAAAAAATCATTTTGTGGAAATGTTGAATGAAACCGAGTTTCAGGTACATTAGATCTATTGAAAATACTGTATCAAGACCAAATAATGGTAAGGATAAAAGTTGGCAAAGATATCTGTGTTGATCTTTGTTCTTTACAGACTGATGTTTTACTTTAAAATTATAGCACAAAAAATGCCATACATGTCATATTACAACTAAGAAATGCTTGAGGCTTCATAATACACCATTGCAAAGTTTTCAGTAAAGTGTTCGTAATTGCACACAGATGAACATCTACCAAAGCTATCCACATAAAGTTCCCATGCAAAATTTGCTTTTAGTGGCAAAAAAATGATCCATTTATGAGCTAACAGACCAAACCTGTAAACAAATGACATATGCATGCGCAGCCAATATCAATATGCAAATATCAGGCTTAGACTTATTTTCCAAAAATTGGTCCTGAAGTGTTGCCAAAAGTGAAAGCATCAAGATGAAGCTAGGCTATAACATAGGCAAGATCAAATTTTTTCAGTTAATCCGTTTTCTCAGTTCAGTCTCAGTAAGCAGAGGAGCAGTTCCACGTTTGACCTTGCTTTTCTCCACTAAAACGAAGTCCTAAAAAGATCAAGCCAATCCTCTCCCTATATCAACTGATGCAATCATTTTCATACAATAATTTCATGCAATAATTTCCCTGCTTTATTAGTGAGAGCTTGCTCTGCTTTCAGAGAGGTGAATATAAAGCCATCTGAGTGTCCTCTGTCCAGATATTCCCATGTCCAAGTGTGATTAGCACTGTCTTGTCAAATTTAGCTCTAAGCCATTTGTGAACACCTTCTTTGTTTATAGTAGCACACTGAAATCTCCAAAGACTTCTGTTTGCTCTTCTGTGTATCCTATTAACAGTGCACTACGTTTCAAGATGTCATACTGCAGAAAGCTACAAAAGCACTTTTAATCAACCTAAACATAATCAAGTAAATTACTTTCATCCTGGATAAATACTGCTTGGTATAATTCTGACAAAACAAAACTGGGTTTTAGTTCTACTGCTGTAAATCCAGAGTGACTGTACAAGAATTTTTTGTACTGCATTTGAAATTCTTCAATTGCATCCCTATAAAAATTCAACTGTGGCTAAACAGGATTGAACCCCATAAATGACCAGCTATCACCTGCTTGGAAAGTGGTATAAGGAAATTTTCAAAAATATATGCTCTTGAGAGAAATTTTCAAGAAGCTGATAACTGGCGGAATGCCCAGATATTTTTATTATTCCACAAGAGAGTAAATAAAACTATATAACATAATATTTCAGTTTTCATTCCGGTATAAAGGAATGACTCCCAGCTGACTCCCAGCCTTGCTTTACTAGAGGCAGCCTGGTTACATAGGTGCAACCAACAACAACCTTCAACTCAGGACCTGGAGTTTTCTTAAAAAGCTGAAATTCAAAAAAGCAGGAACTAAGGCACAGAATGGGAAATATCGCTTTAGTTAGAAGAGTCAAGAACATGCATGAGGGGACTACCTCTATCAGACTTCACGTTGAATTCAGCACTATGCATTCCACTACTATATGCAAAGAACCAGTTTTAAATGTGTCCCAGCACTCCCATTTGTCTATTTGCTCAGCAGCTGTAGGTAGCCAATCTCCTCACAGAGATTTTAGCATGATGAAACTGTGGCTCAGATAGTAACTTACCAATACACTGTTACTGTTGATTTGTGCACAAACTGTAAGAGACAAAGCATCTTCTATCCCTGATTTATCAGTTTCTAGCCTGTATGTCAAGGTCAGGGAGAAGATAGCAAAATGTTAAGATTTGGGGTTGTTTTTTTTTATGGTGTCAATGAGAACAAGTTATTAATTCAATGACAGACTTTTCTATTTCTCTCAATAAACAGGACTGCATTACTGAACTGTAAAGCCAAGAAGACAGTGTGAAAATATGCAGGGGAACAACAGCTGTTAGTCATTATTTTCTCCTTATCCTTTCAACACCTCCGTTTCAATTTGCCCTCTAATGGGTAAATCACACTTTCTCCTTAGGACATTTTCTCATGTCAGGCAGGTACTAAAAAGAGTCCTGAGACAATTAAGAGTCATTGGCCAAAGACACCCTGTCTTTTGTTGCTTTTACTGTAGATATTGAAGCTAATTTTTATGCTTTATCAAACAGATAAAACTGATGTGTTCTCTTAGTCCTTTGTGATAGAGGATGTTTCTGCTTTCCTTCTCTAGACATTGAACCTTGCTTCTTTTTTTTTCCTTATACAGCCTCTCTTACATTTCTCAAAAGAGAAATATAAAATATAAAAATTATTGCATCACTTTGTTTAGGCCAAAGAAGAATCTACCATCAGACAGCATTTAAACATTTGTTTTATGGTTTACCTCATCTGACAAGGCTTTGCAGTAGCTATATGGAAAAAGAGGAAAAATAGAAACAATTTTGCTTATGATCACATTCAGTGTAATGCACAAGCTACTTTGCACTATTCTCCATTTCTTAACTGTAAGAGGAATATTTACTGGTTTTTGAGCCATTGGTTTAATCTGAATTTAATTAATCTGACTCTATGCCACAGAGAAAACAAGGCAGGGAAAAATGCAAACAGCTACAAACATCACACGTCCTACTAAACTGGACTTTTTAACAGAAAATACATTTTCCTTTAATAACTCTGAAAGTCATAATTATCAATTTTTCCAAGCAGTCAAGTGGCAGAAACCTCCAAAGTGACAGAATATGTCCAGTGATGAAGCTGGAGTATATCACAGCATGCACAAGCTTGAATACATGCACTCTTCCAACTATTTCTCTTTCAAAGTAAGTGGCTGCTTTTCTTCAGAAAGGCAATTCAGTTTACATCTGGTTTTGACTTAAAGATTTGAAAGATTACCCTGATTACATTTCTCATACAGCTTCTAATATGTAACTTTTTTACAACTGGTACTGCTGCTACTACTAAGTGAAATGGATTGTGCAGACGATGTTGTGGAGAAGGCACAAGTCACCTGGCAGCTATGCTTGGGCAGTGCTAAGGTACACACACTCCTTATGGCTACACTCAAAAAGGCAAAATATTGTTCCAAAGAGTGCCTCGGTCTTTGTGGTGCCTCAGTCTTAAATGGTACAATAAATTACCTGGATTTTAAGCTCTCCTTCATCATCTAGGGCAGCTCCATCCCACCAACCCTCCTAGCTTCCTCAGGGCTCATATTATTACTGTTTACCAGCTCTTACATAACTCTGTTGTTTCTGTTGCCCGTCACATGCATCACTGATTGCAATCTCAGAAAGAAAAGGGGAAACAAAAATAATAAATAAAAATAGAAACAAAAATAAGCTCCCTTGGTACCAGGGAACATGGAAATCTTAGGAGCTTGGCATAAAACCTGGCACATGTAGTGACAGCGTCTGATGCTGGCAGCGGAATGAAACATTGGGACCACGTGAAAAAGAATAAAGGAAAGAACATTCCCTCCGTAAAAATACCCTATACATATGTATATGTGTATATATGTATGTATGTAAAGAGCCACCATGCTAAGAAAACAATGTAGTCTTAGGGGGAACGCGTCAGGGACCGTACCTGCGGGTGACGCGTTATTAAGGAAGGACCCCTCCAAAAGATATCCCCGCCACCCCGGGATGAGATCCCTTTGTCCGTGCCCGCTCCCGCGGTGAGCGGCTGGCGCTGCCCTCACCCGGGCGAGCCGCAGTGCCCTCCCTGCCCACACGCCGCGCCTCGCTGCTCCAGGGCAAAAACAAACACGGGCTGAACAACAAAGGGCCGCGCTGGCGGCGGCCGGGCCGCTCCGCCGGGGCGCAGAGCGGCCGAGCACGCCCCCGGTGCCGCCCCCGCTCCGTTCCCACAGGGGCTGCCTCCTCCCGCCCCCTGGCAGCTGCCATGTGTCTGTTCGAGTGCGATTAACACCGACCCGCCAAATCCCCCACCCCCCGCTTCCCCTTCCCGGGCCATTTGGGGCATGCACGCGCCCGCGCCCCGTGTTTACACGGCGGCGCCTTCGCGCGGAGCCTTTTTGTGGATGGCGCTGGCAGATGAGCCGGGGGAGGTGGGGGCTCCGCGCCGCGCAGCGCCCGCCGCCACCGGCTATAAAAGCCTCCGGGCCCGCAGCCGGCAGGGCCAGGCGAGCCGCCGCGGACAGGCGGAGGATGGAGGGTGGCAGCGTGGGGTGCGCCTGCCCCCGCCCGCTCTCGGCGGCGCTGCCCCCACAGGGGTACTCGCGCCTCTCCTCCTCCCCCCGGTGCGGGGGGCGGCCCGGCCCTGCCCTGACGGCCCTGCCCTTGCCCTGCAGCCCGGCGCCCTTCTGGAGACCATGGTTGCCCGCGCCGGGCGAGGCGGCCCCGCGGAGCGACCCCGGCCCCGCAGCGGTGAGTGTGGTGGGGGCGCGGCGGAGCCTCTGCCGCCGGCATCGCCGCAGGAACGACGGGGAAGTCCCGGCGGGGTGGGGATGCTCGGGGGGGGCCTGGTGCCGTGCCGAAGGGCTGACCTCTGCTCTCTCCTCCTCAGCCTCACGGCCCCGGCGGGCTGGCGGACGCCTCCCGAAAAGTGGCGCAGTACACACACCCCGTCAGGTAAGGGGCTGTTCGGGCCGCCGCCGGTCCCCGCGGGGGAGCTCTGGGCACACGGGGCCCGCTGGCGCTGCGCGGCCAGGAGGAGAGTCCTTTGCTCGGCAGCGCAGTGCCGCACCGCTCGATCTCCCGCCCCTTTTGTTTCCACCCATATATTTTTGTAGATATTAAAGTCCCTGGGGAGTGAATTGGCCATCTATGTGCTTTTGCACTGACCGGTCGTTGGGCTAGTGATTGCCAGCATTTGTGAATTTAACATCTTTGAGGTGTTGATGTGCTTCTGTGGTGTGGGACTTGACATGCTACGCAGTTATGTGGGCGTTTTTTGTGGTGGCGGAGTTGGCTGAAGCCAGCTACTCATTCCTAGGCCCAGGATTAAAAAAGGAACGGGGGTGTAGTTCCTAGGCTGTTGCTGTGCAGACATTCAGCGCCCTCACAAACCAAGGAAGTAGGTACAGGCACGGGAGAGAGTGGCAGGCACAGAGGGTATAGACTGGCTAAGCAACCATTGCGAAGGAAAATACTTGTGTAACTACTGCTTTAATGATGAAGGTAATGATAGTATCTGCACTGTAAGTTTTGAAAAGGAAATGATGAAAATAACTACAGTTGAATCTGCAGGAGAGTCTACATTCAGAAATACTAATAGGTGTCAAGAGAGGCTTAAAGTAATTGCACAGATAGTTCTTCCAGACAAGATGCAGCTTTCTCCCAAATCTAGGTGCTGATCCTTCAAATACTGATGCACAGATAAGCATTTGCACAGGCTTACTTCACTGTGACTAGTCCAATACTTAGGTATGAGTGAATTCTGCTGCAGGGAATGAACAGGTTACAAAGCTGGTGTCAGTTACTTTGTGCTGAAAAGAAAAGCAGTGTTCTGTTAAACAGTAGCCTAGAAAGTATTTCTTGTGATTGCTAGAAAGCTGTCTAGTTCTGTATCTTTAAGCATTTCTATTATAAACAATCTGTAGTCAGCATTTCGTTATGTTGCAGTGTGCTAGTCTCTTGGCTCATCGGACTTCCATGGTCTGTTTCTTCTAGCTATTTGCAAACTGCAAGTAAAAGAGGATGTTAGTTGAAAAGGAACACGAACTGTGGAGTATATTAATTGCAATATATTATCACTAGCTGATAGCCCTTGTCAACTATGATATCACCAATTTTTGGTAGTTTCTAGATACAACACAAACTACTTTAAAATCTAGATCCACGGGGCATTCTTCAGTAGAGAGTTTCTTGGAAATATCTTTCAGTTTGGGATTTGTTTCACACTATTGTAAACAACTATCTAGGCTGGAGACCTTCATTAAGGAAACTCTTAATTTAATCCAAATATATTTTGGATTCTGTTTGACACCTATTATATTCTCTAGGAATAGTTCCAGTTGGGGCAGTAATACTTGAATCAGATCCCTGGTAATACTGTTAATGAGGTACTGGAGTGTGAAATTTCACATACGTTGGATCTTGGGCTTTAGGGTAGTTTTGCTGCAAATCTAGCACTTCAAGTGCACCTTTATGTCTTCAGATGAAAATACAGAATCCAGGGAATGTTTTTTGTTTTTTTTTTTCCTAATCATATGTAGAAAGTGATTTAGTAATTGACCACGTGAGGAAAAGCTCTGTAGGATGCTTGTCTTAACAGAATTTCACTTTGGTTTCTGCCAGCCACCACATAAAGTATGTAATAACAATAAGCAAATCTATTGTATACTTGTTTCAGACTATTTTGGCCCAAATCAAGATGCTATGATTACTTGTATCAGGAAGCTGAAGCACTTCTGAAAAACTTTCCAGTTCAAGCTACAATTTCCTTTTATGAAGATTCAGATAGTGAAGATGACGAAGATGAACTGGAACAAGAATCAAGAACAGAATCAGATTGCTGATTGCAGGGAAGGCCAATGCCACTTCTAAGACTTAATTTAAACTTAATATAAATATGTATTATAGTATTTTTAAATATAATTTATTTCTATGTAAGTTATTCTTAATAAAACTGAGATGTCTTATAATTTAACTGAGCTTTTTCCTTTGTTCTATTCCTGTCCTGGTCTAGGCAGGGAATGTATTGATTAGTATTTTTATCTGACATTCTATGTTTTGTTGACCATAACCTGAACACCAATTTTAGGAGCAGAGAACAGATGCCGTGCTTTAAAGGGCTCTATGGTTATTTGACTTTGTCAAAGTCTGAGGACACAAGGAAAGCTTTTCATGGTGATTTAGTAGGCTCCATATGGAAGTGTATCAAGGAATCATTGGATTAAGTATTCTAATGTGCTTGCTGTTACAACAGAGTTCCAAACATGGAGAAGAGAAATAATATAGCTGTTTTCTAAATGGAGAGAAGAGTCCAAATTCTACTCTAGGTTTTGATTTTTGAAGAAGGTGTTTGGCTTAAGTTACCGATACCCTCATGTACATGTACTGTATTGTTATACATGATAGTTTCCCACTGCATTTGTTTGTAAAGTTGACAACAAGAAATGAGAAAAAGGCCTAATGTGAGTTCTTATTGTGAGTTTGGTTTTAATAATTGAAGCAAAGTTTGGTACCAGTCATCATGAAGGCCAAAGGCCCTAAAAGAACAATACCAACAAAAATCCAAAATTTTAACTTTAACACCAGTGCCTCTGTCAGGTAGAGCTTTTGTACATACCTGGATATACTCTTGCCCGAGTGCTGCGTGTGTCGCTGCAAGCGGGGCTGGCTCAGTGTGCCAACAACATCGCTGGAGTGGCTGCCCCATCACATCTGCTCCCAAGGGACCCGGTGCAGGAACGAATCGGGCCCTCATACACAGCCGGGCTCAGCATTTAACCCTCCAGGGCGTGGGCAGCAGCAGCTGTGTCAGTCACGACAACCTTCCAGCTCGAGCACTTGGCGCTGGGAGACCTGGACGTAAAGCCAACCTTCGAGCGAAGGGAGGCAACCCCCGGCGGTGTACTCGGTACACGCCGCTCGCTCCCCGCAGAAATGTCCAGCCCCGGGAGGTTCCCACCGATCCGACCCCGAGCCGGCGCTGCCGGCCCCGATCGCGGCCCGGCCATCCCTGACCACCGACCGGCCCCGGCCCCGCCCGGCGCGGCGGAGCCTGCGCGCTGTGCCGGAGCTCCGCCCGCCCGCGGGAGCCCGGCCGCGGCCTGGGCCGGCAGGATGCTGAACGTGCCGCCGCCGGCTTTCCCCGCTCCCAGCTCCCAGCAGCGGGCGGCAGCGGGCGGCCGCAGCAAGGTAGGGGCAACTTGGCCGCCGACAGTCTCTTTGGGGGTGGTGAAGGGCCCCGGCGCTTTCCCTGCGTTGGTGCCGCCTGCATGGCCTGGCCCCGCCCGGCGGGGCTGTGTTGGCTGCCGGTCGGTTCCCGGCTGCCGCCGGACACTCCCCTGGAGCGGTCTCGAACTCCAGCAGCCGCCGAGGGACCGCGGCAGGGCCCCGGGTGAGAGGCCAGCTCAGCCATGTAGCTGGAAAACACTTGGTACTTCTCGTTTGAAGGCGGTGGTGGTAACGCTTCCTGCGCTGCCGGCCCGGGCTGTTCGCCCTGTGCAGAGATGGAGACTTTCAGCCTGGAATTCCTGCGTGCAGCTTATGCTGAATATGTTGTGTCTTCATCCTTGGGGGGGGTTTGAGAACACTTGTTGTCTGCAGACCTCACTTGGACAACAGACTTGTACTTAGACTGAAGTAGCATTAAGCGGTGTGGGTCTGTGTATGCTGTAGGTTTTTTTTGCTTCTGTTTTTCCTGTAGTTTTGTAAGTCCAGGGTTCTTTAAACGTTTTTCTGCTGTTAAAGTTTGGATCAAAGGGGTTCACAATCTGTGGTGGTGTTGAAAAGGCACGTGTTAAACATCCTGAAGATCTTGCTCTGCTTTTCAGGGCAGGCCATGGCCTCTGGTAAGCTACTAGACTTCAGTCCCAGCTTTCTCTGGGTGAGTTTTCCAGTGGCTTTAGGGCTTGGGGAAAGTCTTTATGAATGCTGTGAAAGTGAACTTTCCAACCTTGTCATACCTTATGATGATTTTCAAATTTCCCTTCTTTGTTGCTTGTAGGTTTACAGGCCATATCTCAAAGTGATGCTGATAAAAAATTTTTACTGCCACAGGCAGACTTCAGTTTGCTTTGGGAAGAGTCTGTATGTTTGATGTTCAATAATTTCTGTATATGGGTTACTACCCAGAACACTTCCTTAAGCACCCTTACTACTGAGTAGGGCTCCCAAATATTAATGAATAATATGAGTTAGGTTATTTCCTTTTTGTCTGAGTACTCCTAAGGAGCTTAGAAGAGTGTATTTAATGGCTTTTTCTTCCTTTAGAGTTTAATGATGTTTGTACATTTGTTATTTTTCAGGTACCTTTAAAACCAGGAAGGAGTCTTATGGATTGGATTCGATTAACTAAAAGTGGGAAGGACTTGACTGGTCTGAAAGGGAGGCTGATTGAAGTGACCGAAGATGAGCTCGCCAAGCACAACAAAAGGGAGGACTGCTGGATATGTATAAGAGGTTGGTTGTTGTGATATTGCTTCTGCATTTGTTGCCTAGCTTCCCTTTTCTGTACTTAAAGAAGAAGCAACAAAACCCAAACAACAACAGCCATACTCAAAACCAAACTATGTACCTTCAGTGTTTAGACCAGGTGTAATCTTGACATAATTGGACACAACTCTCTTTGACTTGGGGATTTTTTATCACAAAGATATTCTTTGCTTTCAAACCTTTCATAAGAAGTGTTTCAAGTGGGCATATTTTATACCTATTTTATATCTGCAAATGAAAGTGATAAAACACAAGATTGTAGGCATTGCATCAAATAAAAAGGGCTTAGCAAGAATAAGGCGTTGAAAATGTTGGCATGTAGTTACATTCCTCAGTCTTGGACAGTTTATTATCTTTTGCAGTTGATTGGTTTTAATGATTGCTTTAAAGCATCCAAATATATATAAATATTAAAAATGTTGCCTAAACCGGTAGAGTGGTCTTTGGAAAATAATTGTGCAAGGCCCACACACTGCTTCATAAAACTTAGCAATGCAAATGACAGTTGCCATGTAAGGCAGTTGTAATCTACCTAGCGTAACAAATATCTGTGTAACTATGCTATTCTGTTTATGGTATTATTTTAATTAAATATTAGCTCAAAAGTGGAAAGTGTTATAAGTTAAAAGTGGATAAAAGATGGCCTGGAGCAATAGCTGTGGCTAGAAGAGTATTTTCAGGGCTGCAAATGGAGTTCCTAATTGTCCTACAGAAAGGAGTAAAATCTTTGCTCTCCAGTTTAATTATCTAGAGGCTAAAATACATTAACACTGTCTTAAATTTGTTAGGAAATAACAGCACAGGTAAGGGGATCAGCATAGCTAATGTGACATTTCTGTAGGAAGAGTGGTTCTTTTAGTGGTAACTTTGATCTGGTAAGGAACAGCATTGATATTTGATATAATGTCATGTCTTAACTTCAGCAAAAGGCAGTTAAGAATTTCTCTCGGAGGGTGACTGTTTTTGTTGGGTGTCAAAGGGGATAAGCATGAAAGTAAGGGTAAAATGTCATTCAGTACTGTCCTTTGGACAAAATAATAGGATTGTTAATGGTCTGTGCTGCTCTTGCACGTGCTAGCAAAACTATAGTGGTAGGAGAGCTAAAGAAAGCTTGTTTAGTAAGGAGATCTGTTAATTTTTCTCTCTGAAAGAGGGACATGTACTACTGCAGACAGAATTACTGCTTAAAATGCTTTTGTTTTGTTTTTAGTCTCATATTCTTCCTTGAATGCATCTCTAAGGTTGGTTTTCACAAGAACTCTGTCAAGCTGCTTCTGTATCTTTCTTTGAATTTTTCCATCTCTACTTTTCCTTTGTTCTCAGACGACTAATATAAAAACATCATAACTGAGAATCCTGGTAGATTATCTGTAGACCTCATATGTGGACAAGTAGTAAAATAACATAATTGTGTAAAAGCTAAATGAGGTCTCTGCAGTCATAGTTAGACTGTGTCTCTAAAGAGCAGAAATTCATGAGAAGAATGTGAAGTAAAACAAGAACAGAGTTAACTTTGATCAAAAATCTAATGTGATAATCATCAAAGAAAACTGTTATGTGCCCCAAATTTATATATGAAGAGGGATGGCAGGGGAGTTAAAAAAAGCATGAAGAGTATAGAAATGAGATTTCTTTTGCTTCTGCTAGTTTGATGATCAATTTGACTAATATTCGGGAGGTCTTACCTCTGTTGATACTTATGTTTTATTGTGTGCAGTAATCGGTGCTGCACACAAGATGGCACAGTGAATACAGCCATCAGAAGAGCAGGTCAACAAAATATGCAAAGATCCTTCCTTTTTTGATTGGGATGGTTGTTCTTTTCAACTAGGATTGTCCCAAGTATGTCTCCCCCGGCTCAGTGCTGAGTGCCTGTTCTCCTTCTGATGTAATTAACGTGCACTTCTTAATATCTTAAAAGCTCCCTCTGAAAGTACTGGCATAATTCTACTTTTGGTAGCTTCCTGTTTTGATAGTGTTAAATATGTTAAACTATTCTGCTAGGTAGGCCTGTAATAATAATGTTTAAATGATTAAATCTGTTTAAATCTGTTTATAGCTGAATTTTTCAGGCTCTAATTATCCTGGTTGCATAGCAACAGTAATTAGAGTTCATCATTTCAGACCTGTGAAGAAACATTGTTTTATCTCTCTGGAAGTGTAGAAAGAGTGCTGACCCCTTTTACTGGGACAGATTTTGTACCAGAGGTGCAAGCCTTTAATGAGCATAAGCTATGTTAATTTCTTATATTGCTGAATCTGAAGAATGGAAGTTTTCTTGCTGATGGTGACAGTTTTTCCTTATGGAAGACAGTTTATTCCTTTAGGCATTTTATTCCATAGATGATGGGTGGTAGGGAAACAACTATGACAAGAATTCAGGCATAACTTAATTGGAAGGGAGAGTGAAAATAATTCCATACACTAGCTGGCTCAGTTTTATGTCTTTGTTAAAACCAGCCTCAGGTTCTTTTACCCCCTAGCTAGGATACATCATTTTCAACTTCTAGGTTGAAGTCTTGACCCAGTAGATATCTTCAGACATTCACTGGGAAAAGTGGTACAGCATTGTAGGATTGGCATCTCTGTATAATAAGATACCTCTTGTGCCCTACACAATTGTGTAGCTTATGCTTCTGTTTTTGCAAAGTCACGCTATTTGTTCCAAAAATGTCTAGTGTTTGCCTTTACTCTTTAATGTGTGCTAACCTTTTCACTGGTTTTGGAGATAAGAGGCATCACAGAAATGTTGCTCATGTTTTTATATTCCACTTTTTTCAGGATTTGTATATAATGTCACACCATACATGGAATATCATCCTGGTGGTGAGGATGAACTAATGAAAGCAGCAGGAACTGATGGTACAGATCTCTTTGATCAGGTGAGAACAACTGGCAGCAAATGACACTTACTGTATTGTGAAGAATGCATGTTTTCTGATTATTTTTAGGGCATTCCAGTGGAAATGGTGATTTTAACTTTTTCAGTCCTAAGGAAAGGCAGTGGGTTACTGCTCAGAATGACACATGTGCTGAAAGAGTTTAAGCTTTGTACCAAAAGACACTAATGAAAATACCACTTTATGTTGTTGGAATGATGCTTCAAT